GGTATATTTTGTTTATTCAAAAGTCGTACCGTTTCTCCTAAATAATTCACGCAAGTTTTTTTCTCTCTTAAAGAAACAATGTACCTAATTATCACCCTGCAAGCACTTACTGTAAATACACTTAAAATCGTTAAAGTTTAACACTAAACTCCACTGATTGGCGCTAAAAACAACCGCACATTCCCAGTATTGTGACCATTCAATTATTTGTTTGTACTGCCCACAGAATGTTTATAATGCATTTAACTAAAAAGGTAAATTATCTTTTTAAACTACCCAACAGGCGTACGCCAGTGTCCGAATGCATACAGATATTTATTTATTTATTTTTGTTCATGCATGTACTCCTTTTGTTTACTCAAAACAAAAAAAAATATTTTATGAAGAAAACAATTTTGCACATCCCCAAATTGTCCTTGGAAGGACTTAACCACGACTACATTCACTTCGTTCGTGTTGTCTTTTCGTACCGTAGCTTTACTATTTTAAGCATAAAAAAAATATACGGTCATTAATTTATAGATCGCCGGGATAACAAATTTTAATTTATTTAATTTTAAATTCATTCGAGGGTATCCTTCGGGTTATTTGGTGGCATTTGCGGTTTTCGAAAGCACAACAAATAATATTTTCTACACCAGCATAAAAGCACTGATTTATAATTGCAACTGCTGATATAACCAGAAGTTGCAGGGGTCATAAAACAAAGCAATTTTAAGAAATTCTCATCAGTTATAGATTTTACGTTATGAATATTTAGCTACTTGATATAATACAGAAGATTGGTATCTTCTAGTTGTTGATGCGCATAAGTAATTAATTTTTAGAATTTTTTAATCGCGGTATTGTGTCTTTATCTATTGATTTTCCTTGGATATAAATTTGGTCTCTCGCAGGGGAATTCCAAAGCTTATGTTTAGTACATGTACAAAACTAAAAACTTTTAAGTACATTACTAAAGATTCTGCAGTTAAGAACAAAAATCATTGTTAAATTAATAGCAATAGTAATTTATGAATTAAGTACTGGGTAATTCCCACAGTTCTCCGATTAGAGAAACCCCCGCGCTTATAAAACTAATATTTTTAATTCCTTTATCGCTTATCACTCACTATGGGTTGATTTTGTTGTATATTTTATTTTTGTTGTCATTTTCGAATTGTTATTGAAAGAAAAGATTGCGATCATTAATCGCGTCTAATTGACGCCAAAGTATGGTATCTTCAAACAAACACATTTGAACGCAGTGGCCCTCAGAGATCTCAAAAGGTTAATAAGAAAATTACAATTACAAGAATATACGGAAAAAAAAACAACTTACCAACATTGTGTTGTGTTCTACTCGTAACTATTCTTGTTGTCCATATTATTCCATTACTCCAATACCTGTCGAAGAATTGGAAAAAACAAAAATTAAAATTATAGAAAAAATCAAATGATTAATTATAAATACACCCTGATTAGTTATTCTTTTAGTATATTTAGAAAATTACTAATGAAATTCAAAGTATATGGTAAGATTTGCCGAAAGTTTAAGTTACTTTGTTTCTTTTGCTGTTGTAATCTATATTTACGGAATATTATTGAACTTNTATATATATATACTAATAGAGCACGTTAAACTTTGTCTCGCAATTATCGAAATTTTTTCACGGACTGCTGCGAGAAATTTCTAGTGGCCACTCGTCCGTTGCCTGCTTCGTACTAAAGTCAAAAAAATCAAGACGGAAAACCAAAAAAATTCTTGGTTTATTCGTCCGAAATCATAGATAGCATTCTTTTCGAGGCGACTACCCAGGTGAAATAGATGAAAAACCTCTTCACCTATTTTCTAGATCGTAGCATGGCAAAAAGTATATGTAAAATTATTAGAGTGCTTTGTACAGACCTTTTAATGACTTTAATATATGTACTAAATGACCAAATGAAGAATTATGCATGTGATCGCCCCACCACTACCAGCCGTCGTCAAAAAGGGAAGAGATTGTAACCGGTCGACTATTTTACTGCACCTACATATCGTCTACACGTGTACATTAATTGTTGATAATTGCGATTGGTATTATACCTCTGCTTAAGTCAAAATATTCATATTGTTGGACACTTTACCGGGAACATATTTACAGGGATGCTCGAAGGCTTTAGGCACCATGCCTAATTCTAAATTAAACCGAATAGAATTGAAATAGGGGTAGGTACAACCCTAACAGGCTTTAGTACAGAAACTGTATTATGGTATCCATTCCCTATTACGGAAATCCTTATTTATTCGTATGGCTTGTCTTATCGTAGACTTATTAGGGGATTCTCCCCCCTAGACAAAAATGTTCAGTCTCTCTCCAGTCTCTCAGAGTCTTTCAGCGTCTCTGAGAGCGTCTCTTGTAGTTTTTCACAGTCTCTCAGTTATTACCTAGGTGTTTTTATGGATCTCTCACAGTCTCTCTCTCACGATAAAATTGTTAATTCAGAGATTCGAGTCTCTTACAGAGAGACTGAATGAATAAAACTGAAAAATTGAGAGACTCTCGTTGAGAGATTCGAGTCTCTCGTTCAGAGATTCGTGTCTCTCGTTCAAAGATTCGAGTCTTTCGTTCAGAGACTGGATACGAAATGAGGATCTCTATGAGCGTCTCTCTCAGCGACACCAGAGAGACTCGATAAGAGATGGAGACTCGAGTCTCGCTTTCAGAGACTCTGAGAGACTGAACATTTTTATCTCGGGCTACTTATCTCGATATTATTACACAGGGAACAGATGCGAAAATAATTTTACTAAGTTTGCTTATAGTTCTTTGAAAATATTACACTACGTATATACAGTGTAAACTCTTTATAACGTCACTCGATTTAACGGCAAACTCCTTAAAACGTCGAAATTGCTTGACTTTGGTTGGTTTACATTGTTTTCTATACAATATTACACTCTATATAGCGTCACGCTCACTCTATTTAACGACAACAATGCGGCATTATAAATCATTGAGCAG